TCTCTCTCTCTCTCTCTCTCCACGGTTCACCCAGTTTTCGTTCTCCTGTAGGAGTGTATATATTATATTAGCTGGTATTTATCTTCCTCTCTGTTCCTGTGGTAATGTATCACATTCAGTCTAGATCGGTCATTATCCTCCCCTCCTCATCCGTCTCCCCTTCTCCTCCTCCTCCTCCTGGGGTATTCGAAGTGGGCCACTTGCAGGTCCTGCTTTTCTTTCCCTCTGTTGTTTCCGAATGTCTGTTTTGCTTCTTCTCTGCACTATATATGATCGTTATTGGGTCGATATGCTTCTCTTTTCTTCTCCTTCCCCTCCTTTTCATCCTCATCTGTCTTCCCTCCCCACTTCTTCCCCACTTCTTCCCCACTCCAAAGCTCTCCTCCTACACCCTGCTCCACCCCCTTCCCCACCTCCTCTAATCCTCTTACTCCCCTACCTCAATCGTTTGCCCTTCCCTCATCCCACTCCTCCTTCTCCTTCCTCGCCTCCTCCTCCCCCCCTTGTCCTTCCCCATCCTACCCCATCCTACTCTTCCTATCCCTCCTTCTCTTCCTCCCCTTCTTCCTCCCTCCTCCCCCCAACCGTCCATAATTGTAACTTCTTTAAAAAAAGTCTAATCTTCTCTGGCCGTACCTCTGATGGACCGACTCCTAAATGAAATAAATTGTGTAAAAACACCTACATATTTTGTCTCATGACGTAGCCGAGAGTAAACAGAAAAAAATACCACCTATGTTTGGGACAGCTGATAACCAGCGGCCTGTTGGAAGCTCACGCATTAAACATAATATTATTAGTTTCCTCCTGATAACTTAAGTTTCCGTCACGACAATCCAGGCTTTCAGCAAGATAACATAATTTCATCAGGATAGCCTATTATATATTGTCATCTCGACAGCCTGCTATATTTTCATCCCGATAACCTTCATTTTCTTCACGATAACCTACATTTTCATCACAATGACTTATGTTTTCACCAGGATAACTTAATTTCTCATCTATATTGCCCATGTTTTCATCAAGATGATCTTTATTTCCATAACTATAACCTATGTTTGCATCAAGATAATTTGTGTTTTTTATCACGAGATCCCATGTTTCCATCTCGGTAACGTATGTTTTCATCCCAGTAACCCACGTTTCCATCTGCTCCCCCCCTCCCCCCACCCACACACACACACACACACACACACACACACACACACACACACACACACACACACACACACACACACACACGCAGAGACGGCGAAGAAGGCGAGACAGAGGAAGTCGACATTGATCTCAACGACCCGGAAGTAGAGCAGGCAGCCATTAAAATCCAGGCAGGGTTCAAAGGGTTCAAGGCCAGGAAAGAAATTCAAGGTTCAGGAGAAGAAATTCAGGTATTGTTTAAACCCTTGACCTCTAGACAATTGTTCTGATGAAATCTACCCTCCCCCCCCAAAAAAAAGTGT